AAAGCAGTGCAGTGCATAAGAAACTTGGTTTTGTCTCGACTGGTCTTAATCTTGTATATCGACAGCTCAATGAAGCAATGTTGAATCCAGACCTTTCACGGAGGAGAGGACATGAAGCTGGGAGGGAATTAATTAAAATTAACATTCGATAAAATGTAAAATACTGTACTTCAGAGGAGCTGCATAGGGGGGGGGGTCCCCTTTACACCTCTCGAATTCAACACTGTCGATGAAGTGATTTAACAGTAACAAGGCAGACGTAAGCAGCATGGTTTTTTATGAAATGGTCTGATATTTGAAATCCATAGCTCGAGAAAGTGAATTACCAATAAAATTGCAATGTCTATGCAACTTTTCTTTGTCTGGATTGATTATATATCCTTAATCAAAATCTATACAAAGGAATTTCGAAATAACAATTTGTTTTATAAGCAAGCTTGTTTTGTGAGGACTGGTCCATATGTGGTATAGCGATAGACGACAGGATTAGTTAACAATAACAATGCAGTTTAAAATTAGTTTGTTTCTCATTTAACTGATCTGTGAATCGTGTATTAGACAGTCGACAGAGTGAATTGAGAATAACAATGCAGTTCATCAGCAATTTAGATTTGTCTACACTGACTCATGTTGGACAAGGTGAATTAACAACAAAAATGCAGAGTGTAAGCAACTTTGTTTTGTCTAGACTTCCTTGTATCTCTTACATCGACAGCTAAACAAATTGAATTAGCAATAACAGTGCAGTGCGTAAGCAACTTTATTATGTCTCAAAAGATTTGTATTTCGTTTATATATATATATATATATATACAACTCAATGAGGTAAATTAGCGATAAAAATGCAGAAATAAGCAGCTTGGGTTTGCCTTAACTGTTCTGCATCTCAGATATTAATACCTCAATATATATGGTGAATTAGCAATAACAGCGCACTATGCAAACAACTTGTTCTTTGTTTTCGCAACTAATTTATATCTCGTATACCGGCAGCTTAACAATGTGAATTAATAATAACAATGCTCTGCTTAAGCAACTTCGTTTTGTCTGGAAGAAGACTGTAACAGGGAAAAGTTGAGAGCAGTAAACCATTACAGTGAAAATCATGGAAAGTCCTTAACCTGGAAGAGGACTGTGAAAGGGAAAACCTATGATTTGTGGTGGAGCTACACAAACCATCACAGTGAAAATTCTGGAAAGCTGTTACCGTGGAAGAGGAGTATAACAGGGAAAAGATGGGAGCTGTGGCAAAGCTACATAAACCATGACAGTGAAAATCACGGAAAGTCCATACCTCGGAAGGCAAGGAACTAGGATATGTAACAGAGCTATGAAAACAATTCTAGAGAAAACCCCAGATTTTGACTCTGAGATGACCACACAACAGCCGGCCTTACATACGTGGAAAAGTAGCTATACCACAGTTAATCCATCTATTCCCTTCAAGTTCAGCACCTACTGGCACTAACAGCTCCCATGGTTTTGGTAGACGCCACCACCACCATGCCTAACCTCTATAAGTATCCAGTAGACGAACAACATTAACCCATTAACTGCTGCAGGAGCAGCTCAGTTGCCGTTTTCATCAATCACAATAAAACTGTAATTATCGTCATTCGCATAGAGTTATAGTTATATAAGTGCGACTGACGGATATTTTCGTCATTCGCAGCTGAGCCATAGAACTTCAATGACGGAAATATCCGTCATCCGCAGTTAATGGGTTAAGGTGATGTCACTGATCATCTCAAGACCAACTACATAATTCCATACCCAGTGACGTTTTTCTTAACCTCCAAGAGTTTGGAAAGAAAGAAGAGTTAGAGAACTTATAATCAAGTCTTTCAGTCCATATTTTATACACAAGATTTCAGTGTTTGCATATTTTTTCCTATTTTCTTCTAAAAATAGAGCTTTTAGCAACTAAATATAACTTTAAATTATTTTTGATAAATTTTGTCATTGGAAATTATTAATTACGATCTTACTTATATTTTATAAATGGTGTAATGAATTATTCAGCATGCATAAAAAGTTCAGATTTTCCTTTATTGTTTCAGCATATTTTTGTAGACAAAAAGTGAACAAATAAACTGTTTCATTGATTAACTTAATATATGTATAACGTAATTTATTTAAACATCAGTTATGGTACTTGAATGACTTTCTTCTCCTCAGAATATTTGTAGAAAAAGCCAAAGTATTTTATATAATTATGTACACACATATATTTTTACTTTACTAAATCTATCAGCTAGATTTACTTGAGAACGAAACAAGAGAAATTGAACATTATGATTATAAGCGTTCCTTTTAAAGATAAGCAGTCTTACTAGAGAAAACTTTCTAAACTGTAGGCGAGAATTTAATCGTTCTCAACATCTACACCAATATCAAAGTCTCTGTCAATATCTGAGATGCTTTGGTTTGGTCAGTAGAGTGGAAGCAGCTTGTGAACGTTTTTCATTCTTCTACTCACACGTGAGTGGTCAGTAGAGCGAAGCCATATTGTGGCCATTCTTCATCTTTTACTCACAAGTGACCTCGTCAGTGGAGAGCAGCTTGTGTCCCTTTTTCACTGTTTTTTTACACGTCAGCTTGTCAGTAGAGTGGAGGTAAATTGTACCCATTCTTCTTCTTCTACTCATACGTGACCTAGTCAGTAGAATGAAGGCAGTTTGTGTCCTTTTTCACCATTCATACACTACTCACACGTAAGCTAGTTAACAACCTTTGAGGAAATTTGTGCACCGTTTCCATTCTTCTACTCATATATGAATAGTCAGTATGACTGAGACAGTTTGTATTCTCTTTTCACTGTTATATTTACAAGTGAATTAATCAGTATAATGTAGGCAACTTTTGTCCCATTTCACTCTTTTTTTTTCTCACACATGAAATTGTGACCCCTTTTCACCTTGTTTTCATTCACACGTGAGCTAGTCAATAGCATGGAGGCAGCTTGCGTCCCATTTCCATTATTCTACTCACGCGTGAGCTATTAGTAATCCTTGAGGAAGTTCGTGTGGCTTTTTCACTCTTTTGTTCATACCGTTACCTAGTCAGTAGAGTGGAACAGCTTGTGTTTTTCTTTTCACTCTTTTTACTCAGAAATGAGCTAATTAGTAGAATGGAAGTAGCTTAGGTCCATTTTAACTAATCTACTCACACGTGAGCTAGTCAGTAGAGTTGAGGCTGCTAGTGTCCTTTTTTTAACTCATCTACTCACACGTGAGCTAGTCAGTAGAGTGGAGGCTGCTAGTGTCCTTTTTTAACTCATCTACTCACACGTGAGCTAGTCAGTAGAGTGGAGGCTGCTGGTGTCCTTTTTTAACTCATCTACTCACACGTGAGCTAGTCAGTAGAGTGGAGGCTGCTGGTGTCCTTTTTTAACTCATCTACTCACACCTGAGCTAGTCAGTAGTGTGGATGCTGCTGGTGTCCTTTTTAAACTAATCTACTCACACATAAGCTAGTCAGTAGAGTGGGTGAAGTTGCACCCTTTTTGTACTACAAGGTATATTGTTATAGGAGATTAAGATGAAAACAATTCCAAAAATTTAATTACCACAATGTAGTAGTTGTTGTTGTTCTAAAGACATGTATTAGTTGCATTTGCAGACCTTTTCAGTCCCAAACTATTATATTTACTCAATAATGATGCTACAGACTGGTGGTAGAATGTAAAGACTTACTATAATATTTTCAAGTACAACCTTTTTTTTTTCGAGGAACAAATATAATTTTTTCGCCTTCTGCTACTTGTATGTTCTTTTAGTGTAAACTTACAAAAGTTAACTGAGCTTCTAGTTTATTTATCTTACCAAAGCGAGACGATGCATGTCATTCGATAAGGTTGTGTAGACAAAGAGAGAAGTGCTTTAGAACACAAATTTCACAAAGTGAATAATTAATTTTATGCTTAATAAGTTTCAACGTCTGCTTCACTAGTGATGCAAATTTCATGCGCTATTCGTGATACATTAGTGATTATACTAATGGCATTTTAATGGTAGTACAAACGTTTTATGCTGCTCTCTGTGACACAATAGTAACTAAAAATATTGAACATGTGTTACATAAATAATGCAAATGTCACGTGCTTTCTATGACACAATAATACCTAAAATGTTGAATATATAAGTATCATTTGCTATATGTGGCACATTAGTACTTAAAACTTTTGAACTTGTGTTTTACTAATAATGCTAGCTTCACTTTAGTTCAATGACAGATTAATAATAACCTAACAATTTTCAATATGTGTTTTACTGGTAACTTCATGTGCTACCTGTGACACATTGAAAACTAAACAGTTTTCAACGAGTGTTTTTGGTGGTAGCACAAAAGTAATGTGTTGTCTGTGACACAATAATATCTTAAACAAATATCAGCAAAACTTGCTCATTTACTTAGGTTGTTTATTGTATAAGAACGAGAAAGAAAGAAAATCCATCAATTATTGCACATTACGTTCGGATTTAACTAGGTTAAAATTACAAGTACATTTAACTGCCGTTTTGGAAAGACATGGAGGTTACTTTAAAAAGAATTTGTTCGAATTTTCCCTCGTTGTCAGCTTGTTGTCTGTCATGTAACTTGTATTGTTCAAGTTGTCTTTGTTTACATTATTTCCCTTGTTTAATCTCCCAAGGTTGTTACATTCATGGAGATATACTTGTTCTATACGCTATGTACTAACATAATATCATGTTCAAGTTGTCTCTGTTTACATTATTTCCCTTGTTTAACCCCCCAACGTTGTTACATTCATAGAGATATACTTGTTCTATACGCTACGTACTAACATAATTTCATGTTCAAGTTGTTTCTGTTTACATTCACCTATTGAGTTAGTGCGTATCGTGCGCGCACCCGTTCAATGAAAAATCTGAATTCTGCTTCCACGAAAGAGAATCCGTCGCTGATTCGTTAAAGCAAAAGCTCCTGGCGGCGAGGCTCGCCCACCTTATCACACGCAATGTCTACCTGAGGTAAAATCACGAGGTGTTCTCTGATGGGTTCTCGAAGATGCCCTTAACAGACAACTCGAACCGACCAAGTGATAGTGGAAAGGTAGTGATTGTGTTAAATGATATCATAATCTTGGAAAGTAACGGGGAAGTACAAGAGGAACGTTGATAGGATAGGTGTAATAAAATCCCTAACTGTTTTTGTAATATAAGTTAATAATCGCTTTTTTTATGTAGATTTGCAAACCTCTGCTAGAACGACGACGGAGAGCTAGGATTAACCGTTGTTTGGCTGATCTGAAAAGGCTGATCTTAAGCACTGAAAAGGAGGTATACGTTTATTTCTTGATATATGTTATGTTTTTTAATGTGTTCATAATGCAAATATAGGATCATATTTTAATACAGCTTAACATGTACAGTATGTTTTAACTGCAGTTGTAAACTTTAATATTATTATTAGGACATCTAACTTTTGAAATATTTATTTTGGCTCTTAAAAGTAAATTGAGTACTATTCGCGGGTACTATTACAATATTTACTCTCGTTTCTAAAAAAAATATATATATAGATATATTATGATTAGTTTTGGTTGAAATGTTGCGACTTTTCAAACTGTGTATTTTGGATAAACTTGAAATCTGAACATTGATATTGTCATATTAGAAATTTCACCGTCTTGATACATATACGTGCGCTGGAAATTGTAAATGATATATGTTCCAGTGTGAAGAGGAACGTTCTGAAGTTAGGTATATAATAACTATCATGTTTTATAAAAATATGCTAAGAAAAGTGCTATAGCGGCATTCAAGTTACGTTTTTAAACATGTTATAAAGGACATGTTTCACAAATACTCTAGCTATAAATACTAATTCATAACTGACACCCAGCCATGTT